GAGGGATAAAACCGCCGAATAAGAACAATAACCCAGTGATTAAATCGTCGAGTTAGAAACTGCAGCGGCTGGAGTTTTCTTCAGCGTCTCTCTCCCCCTTGCCGCCGACGCCGTCGCCGCGTTGAGTCGTGCGAAGATTGGGGGTGGTGGTAGTGAGCAAGGGGAAAGGGGGGGGGGAGGGGGGACAGAACTCTGCCAGAAAAAAACAACCAAAAAAACGGGGGTTCTGGTACTCTTCAAGGGTTCACACACTGTTGGTTTGGTAAACTTAGCGAGGTCGAAGCTGGCTCTGCTGCCTCTTAATAGTGATTGAACCACAACGATCACGACATGGAAAAGTATTTCAGTGTTCATTCACGTTCTAAGGTCTGATGATTTCCTTCGTTTCCTACAGATTGAAAAAAAATAATTTAAAAAAAATAGACGATGCATGGAATGATAACTTGTGACTTCCGGCAGGCAAATGAGCATTTTTCTAACACTTGCTCTGAAGGCAGACAAGCGTGTCAAAATACAGGCTCATCAATCAGACAATCATAAGTCAATACAAAATGGTCTTCATACACGTGCACCAGCCAGACACAGTTATCTTCAAACACGCTTATCAGCCAGACAATCGCATCGTCATACACACTTATCAGCCAGACAATTGCATCGTCATACACTCTTTTATCAGCCAGACAATTGCATTGTCATACACTCTTTTATCAGCCAGACAATTGCATCGTCATACACTCTTTTATCAGCCAGACAATCGCATCGTCATACACACTTATCAGCCAGACAATCGCATCGTCATACACACTTATCAGCCAGACAATCGCATCGTCATACACTCTTTTATCAGCCAGACAATTGCATCGTCATACACTCTTTTATCAGCCAGACAATTGCATCGTCATACACACTTATCAGCCAGACAATCGCATCGTCATGCACACTTATCAGCCAGACAATCGCATCGTCATACACACTTATTAGCCAGACAATCGCATCGTCATACACACTTATCAGCCAGACAATTGCATCGTCATCCACACTTATCAGCCAGACAATCGCATCGTCATACACACTTATCAGCCAGACAATCGCATCGTCATACACACTTATCAGCCAGACAATTGCATCGTCATTAACCATCGCCCATCAGCCAGACACAATAGCCTCCATCTAAGTTCTGCAGTGACTGCAGGCCCTCGTACGTGTCTGTTGTCTTTCAGGTCCTGTTTACCCGCATGGGGCAAGGTGGGCATCATTCCAAAACACCCCCAGGCTCAAGAGCCCATTGACAAGGTCTTAAGAGTTCCACACCCCTTTCCAGTGTATTATCGTTTGCTGTTCACAGTCAGTGTCGTCGAACATGATTGAAATAAAGAAGCTTCTAATGCAATTTTTATGCTTTCGAGATAAATTTTCAATATTCGCTCCACCTATGTCTATCCACTTATAACTTTGATGAAAACCTAAAAAATATCTAGCCATTTACCCCCATGTTGGCACTGCCCTGGGCCCCCATGTTGGCTGTACCCTGGACCCCCCATGTTAGCAGTGCCCTGGGCCCCCATGTTGACTGTGCCCTGGGCCCCCATGTTGGCAGTGCCCTGGACCCCCATGTTAGCAGTGCCCTGGGCCCCCATGTAGCCT